GGGTTACGAACGAGCACACAGACCGCCTGATAGTATGTGTATGCTGTGGTCCATAGACGTCTACATCTATTCCCAATAAAGAATCAAAATGCTGATGCGTTGTCACAACTGACGCATTGTAATTTTTATTAAAAAGGAATTTCGGTTCTCTACACTCACAATATTTAACACAGCATTATTAAGCTGTTATTTCAAGCTGGTTCTTGTATTCTATAAAACAAACTACGTCCTGCGAAGTTTAATAACGAGTTCACTATAATATAACCAATGATTAAAAAACTAGCATTTTCTGTTTCATAGAAACCGCGACACCAACAACAGTATTCTTAAAATGTTTGGGATCCGATGAAACTGACTTCTTTTTTAAGGTACTGGTGGTAGTGGCTTTGGCAAGTTTAAATAAATTATACCCCAGTTATATCTGGGATATAATTAATTTATCTTTTAATTTTATTTTAAGCTAGAAATTAATTTAAAACGAGACGAAACCAAACAGAATTTGTTGATTAGCCCGTACGAATAGACATACAGACAAAATTAAAAAAAAGAAAGGTTGCTAGTGTCTTATACAAATAACCGCCTGCGTTTAAAAGCCAGTTGTTTCAATATTACAGACAGACACTTCAATATTATTTATATTTATATGTATGAACAAATTATTTAAAACACATCTTTTACTAACAGATTAAGTTTTTCGTTGTCACTGAACATCTTCAGGCTGTAATATTATAGCATATAGCCCTTTATCGTCACCATCATTATACTCTGTCTTTGTGAATTCCTGTGATCTTGCCGAATATCGGTTTTACACAAGTCCAATTTTCACCAATTTCATCAAACTAGGTTATATACATTTGGTTCAGACATCCTGACATCTGGTTGACCGACCACTTTCTTAGTGATTTCTTCTCTCTATATATTAAGGTACCAAATATTTAACATTAGGTACCAAATAGTACCAATTAGATACTAAAATTTGGTAGGTACTAATCAGACATCAAATTTCTTTCATGTTGCAGAGGTTTAGATGCTCACGAATCTAAAACCCTTCTTTTCTATACACGTATTTTTTTATAGGAAAAATGTGATAAACGAGCACATAGTCTATCAGATGGTAAATAGTTGCTGTGGTCCATAGACATTTCCATCTATCCTCGATTAAGAATCAAAATGTTTCCAGTAAAAAAGGGTATCTGTTTACCTATAGTCATCATACGAAACAACAGCATTGAGCTGCTATTTTACACCGGTATTCTGTGAAAGCAGAAAATTTTCTCCGCTCGAGCCGACCCATTCGAGCTAAGAGTAAAGAATATATGCTTAATATTAGTGTGAGTCATTTTGAATACACTGTTTACGAAACGGAACTTGCTTACGTTAGTGACTTTAAAACAATGATCGAGATTCGAGACAAAGGCGTGCGAGATCCAACTGCACGCTTCACACGTGCTCACATCAAGTAAAGCACTAAAATACTTACATCTTTGTCCGTGCAGATCATTGTTGTGAACGTAAACTGCGCATGTTAGGAATCTGGGGATTTGAAACACGTCCAAGTTTAAATCTACTGTAAATAATTTAAAATTAAAAATTTTGTACAACCGACTCCAATATAAATTATTAAGAATAACTCAAAAACTATTGGTCTGACCTTGATCAAATTCATATGGGACCACATGTGAAGCACCAGCTTTCAAATAAAAAATTATTGAAATCGGTTCACCCAGTAAAAAGTTATGAGGTCACACATAAAAAAGCATAGAGTCAAATTGAGTACCGTCTCTTTTTTGAAGTCGGTAGAAAATCAATTGCCGCATTTATGAAGGATCATGACTTGAGTACGGTTGGACCGTTGATTAAAATTTATTTTTTGCGTTTGAGTAGGTCCCTGGATAGATTAGATTCACAATTGGATACTGTATATGGCGCTGGTGTCGATATCCAGAAATCACCCGTGCTAAGCTTGGCCTAATATAATATAAACTTTGTGCCAATCCTGGAGGAAGTTCTATGGTCAGCAGTGGAGTTGAGATGGGCTACAGCTTTCTTTAATGAGTTACTAGCTGTTCCCCACGACTTCGCGCGTGTGGAGTTATTTTTCGCGGAACCCTAAAATAAAAGTGGCCCAAGTTACTCCTTATAACATCAGCTATCTGCCAGTGTGTATAAATATTGACAAATATTGACATTAATATTTATACGATACTAACGTCACTCAATTGTTTTGCCTTCCTGGAACCCCTCCACTAACACTTAAACTTTATGGTATGGTATTAAAGTTCTAATTCACTTTTAAGTATTATTACGAGTCTTTTGTATGGGAATATATAAAAATGTTGTTTTTAGACTTTTTTAGGCAATTTTTTAAATATTTCTCTGCGTAAGAACCATCTTCGTACTTCAAGGAATATTATAAAAAAAGAATTAGCGAAATCGGTTCAGCTGCTCTCGAGATTTGCGCTTAGCAACACATTCAACGATTCATTTTTATATTATAGACTACGGCTCATAAAATATGCAACGCTGTGTGCAAAGTGACTATGATTTTTTTATTTATTTATTAATTCTATATTGCGATCCTTATAACAAAAGAATACAAGGGGCGGACTTAATGTCTTGAGGCATTTTCTACCAGTCAACCTATGGAGTGGTGAGAAATTGACGTAGGCTTTGCTACCCCTATAGAACAATGCCCTTTTTACATTATTCCAGTCCAGTGATCCAGTGTAAATCCAGTCAAGCGCTGGACTGGATCTGTATCGTCTCCATTATTCCAGTCATTTAGAAGCCGTAGAAGTGAGAACACTACAGTGACAATGATTTCAAGAAGAGATCAGTTTCGATTCGCATCCTTTCTTCTTCGCAGTTCGAAAAAACAACCAACACGCGATTACTATTCAATTGTCGTGTCAGCACTGGAATGGCACTGGATTGGCCGTCTACATTATTGTAGTTGCACTGGATTGGTCGCACTGGATTCAAAAGTAGACCGCCAATCCAGTTACTGAACTGGAATGCTCACTAGATTCAGTGCATTCCAGTGCTGGTTTACATTTTTCCAGTAAGCAATCCAGCGCTGGATTCTATCGCTGGACTGGAATAATGTGAACCGGGCATAAAAAGCAAACTAAAATTAATATTTGAATTTGATTTTGATCATTTTGATGTCAACAAAGTCAGCGAATAGGCTTGCTACAGACAATTGGTACAACGTTAGTCACAATTTTGATATCATTTGAAACATATTGTATAGTTTTTTTCTATACTCAAATTTTATGGTATACAATCATACATATACATTATATTTACTATAATAAACAGCGCTATTAGGAAGTAACAAGCGGCAGTACATCGACTTTAGTTTTTTTTTCTTCTTTTATGGAAACATCATAAAGCGAGCATAATCACTATATCAATGCGAATTGAATAAAAATGACTCGTCACCGACAATTTGACTACGAAAATGATGGGTATTTTATCGCGTTCATTTTACTATCAACCTGTTACGGCTTCGCCAGGTTTGGATCTATTACCAAAAAACACTTTATTTTTCAAAAAAAAATCTACAATTATTTACGATAAAATATAGCCTAAATCTCTTCTCGCGTTGCATCACAAACATTCCGAAGTTTAGCGCGGACAAACAGATCTTAATGCATTGTAAGTAACCCCCTGAGCTTAATAGAAGTCAGTTATTTAGATATTACAGACAGACATTTCAATTGTATTTATATGTTGTAATTTTATGTATATAGTAATCTGTCTCCGTAATAACGATTTGACATAAAAAGGTGTAGTTGCCAACTCGCCTGCTAAGCGTGGCAACTATGGCAAATATCTCCCTATAAGACAATCTAAGGGCCTATGTTAAGGAGTGGACTTTAATAGGCTGTAATTATAACAGTGTTAGAACAACAAATAATTCGACTGATCACCATGCAGTACCAGCAGAATGTTAGCTAAGATTAATAACGATAATCTTTCTCCCGTGTTTTACAATGGAACGTTGCCGCCATTTTGTAAATCTGTTAAGAATCTTGGCTTACCTAAAGTTAAACTCCCCAGGAGTGCAACTTGCTGAAATAAGCCGTAAAGTTTCCGCCACTTTACGTTCTCTTTATCGTTTGAAATTGAAAAAAATTGAACTTCTACTTATGCAGACTCTGGATATTGCCCATTATTGATTATACGGATGTGTGTTACGCACATCTATTTCAATATCTTCTCGAAAAGTTGGAGCGCCTTCTCAACAATTGCATTAGGTTCATTTTCGGCTTACGTAAGTATGACCATGTTTCTCAGTACCGTTCTAAGCTTAAATGGCTTTCTATTCGTCAAAGGTGTAGCTCCCGAATTTTACATATTAAATTTTAAATGACCCAAATTCTCCTTCTTATCTTAAGGATAACTTTCATTATCTGTATTCTACTCATGATAGAGTTCCCGTTCTCAAAAAAGTCTTAAAATTCGTATTCCACCACATAGTTTCTTTAATTCATCTTTTAATGTCCTGTCCCGTGCTCTGGAATGCCCGACCTTCTGCAATGCAATCCTGTCCTGGCTAGTCTCCATCGAGACTGGCCGCCGTGACCGAAATTCGGTCTCGAGGACATTATCCGTCACGTGCGGATGAATTAGGTTAAATAGATAATATTAATTTACTTTTAGAACACACTAATTAATTATAGAATAGATTCAGTCCTAAGCGTGCTGAGGACTCGACCAATCAGTGCAGTGTTCAATTACTAATAGAACAACTGTTATAATGCGAAATTATAAATGGTATTTTATAGTTAATTTTGTAATCAAAAATGAATTAAGTTGGCAGCGCTTTATTACCAACATTTACGATAGTGTTTACACCTTATGGAAGCAAAATTTTCGAACACGTGCGATATTTTGCATTAAAGAAATGTAAACGTTTGAATGTATTGTTGCAGATTAGATGAACGATGCGAGGTGTCAGTGGAAGCAGTTAGCCGGCGAACGTAGCAACTGCGATGTTGAAAAAGGAGTCTACAATAAAAGTGAGTTGGCTTTTACAAATATTTTCAGAGTCTTAGTAATACACCAATATGCTAATAAATTAAATGTTTAATTTTATTTGTCGAAGTGCAATTTATTGTCGATTTAATATTTATCACAATAAATTATTAGTTAGCACGGCAAAAGAATACAATTGTAAATTGTAAATACGTTGTCGGGAAAAGAAATAATAAAGAAGACTAAATACTTAACAATATTATGTCATATCCTTTTAAGAGTGGTGTGAATGATTTGGGCTAAATTTTTAAAAAACACGCACTTTCTTTGAGCTAATCTGGTACTATAAAAATATTAATTGTAGATTTTATCATCATCATCATGACAGCCCTTCACAAGTCCACTGCTGAACATAGGTCTCCCCCAAGGAATGTCACAAAGCATGATCCCGAGCCACCTGCAAACATCGACTTCCTGCATATCTCACTAGGTCGTCATTCCATCTAGTGGCGAGCAGCCCTACAATTCGCCTATCGGTTCGAGAACCTTTCTTCCCCATCTCCTTTTGTTTCTTTTCCCCCCGTGGATTTTATAATATAACTAAATTTCAAGCTTATTAGAATATGACTAGCAGTGAAGGACCAGGTTTTGATGCACACTACTGTACAGTGCACCCAATAATGTATTCTTGTCTAAAAAGCATCAAGTAGCAATACAATTTAAGGTGAGGCGAATTTCGTCTACTGAATATTTTTATTTAATATATTATCGATATATGTTTCACTAGATCAATTGAAGTCCGCGTTATTTTTGGTCAAAACGCTAATTCACAGTTTTATCGTCTATTTATACAGATGCCCGAGGAGAGTAGCAATGACGGGCAGTTCAACCTAGATGGTATACTGTGTGAGCTAGGCTGCTTTGGAAAATACCAGGTGCTGCTGCTGTTTCTGCTCGCGTTCCGAGACTCCTTTCTCAACATGTGCAACTACAACTACGTATTCACAGCCGCCGAGGTTTCCTCCAGGTAATATATTAAAATCTTAAAAATGTTCGCCTCTTATTTCAATCCGTTAATGAACTGATCTAATGACTTATAATGAATACTTCATACATCAGTGATGAACGTTGATCTCATGTATAACTATAGATTGAAGTTTATGATTACATCCCCTATATAAACACTTACACCACTACTTTGTTTATGAGATATGAATCCAATATGTAATGGCGTTTCACAAGTTAGCATTCTCGGTCCTAAACTCTTTTATGTACATGTAAAATACCTCTTTAGTCCTTACAACGCAATAGTTACTTGTTCTGTTAATACATAAATAGTACTTCACGGACAAAATTTTGAATGCGACTGCTTGAAGACTCGACAGAGTGTAGCCATACCATAGTAAATTTATTTCAAAATACCTTACCATCTCTTACCGCAAACTATTTATTACTCAAAACTATGACATCTATTTATAACACCATTAACATCATATACTAAATTATTTCAAGACAAAATAATTAAAATACAAATCTTTCAAGAATATATTATAATATTTTACATATAACAACATTTATATCATTATACTTCATTGTAATCTGTACAACCACCAGTTTAAAATTTTATACTGTCGTTGTTAAAACATAGTGCGATTATTTTATTCCTTTTAGTTCTTCGAGGTCAGTTTTAACTTTGTTAAGTCTTTTTTTACACTAAATAGCACAAGCATGTATTCCTTCTAAACTGTTAAATTGCAAACTATTTTTCCAGACTTATTTTTATTAAAGTTTATATAGGACCGCTCATAAAGCATACAATAAAAAAAAATCATTAAAATCTGTTCACTATTAACGCAGATATCGAATACACAGTCATACAAAATACATTCTTTTTAACAGTGGTAGAGCCAAGCGGTAGCTTTTGCTGTCGCACGGATGGGCCAGCTCGAACCGGGGTGGTACCACGATCTCACAGAATACCAGCGTGAAGTAGAGGTTTACCTCTGCGTTGCGCTTGGTGAGTGCAGGTGGCCGGAGACCCAACTCCCCCCCCCCCCATCAATATGGTAGTGGAATTAAATAAAAGACTACCCCAGGAGGGTACCAGCACCCCTGGAGAATCCCTCTCTGAGCATCCACGACCAAACTACTTCACTCCTGAGCGTACGTGCTCAGGCTGCCCCGCGTATTCTGGGGGGGGGGGGGGGGGGGAAATTCCGCTCGCGAATAATGCTGCTCGGGGCAAGCGGAGCAATACAACCAAGGCGACCCCTGTCACGCTATCCGTGAATTTTTGCAACATCAGGGGACTTCATTCCAACCTTAACGCTGTCCATTATCATCTAGAGACGGCGAAGCCGGCCTTGCTCTTTTTAACAGAGACTCAGGTGTCCTCTCCGGCTGATACTTCATATCTCTCCTACCCGGGATACAATTTGGAACACTCCTTTGTGCCCCGGGCTGGAGTTTGTGTATACGTCAGAGAGGACATCTGTTTTCGACGCCTCGGCAGCCTTGAAGGTATGGACCTGTCCATCCTATGGCTGCGCGTAGACAGCGACGACCATCCCCGCGTCTACGGGTACCTCTATAGGTCCCATAGCGGTAATGCCGACACAGACCGACTCATCGACCACGTCCAAATGGCTGCAGACTCCGTGCTACAACAGGTCCCATCCGCAGAGATCGTGATACTCGGTGATTTCAACGCCCACCACGCTGAATGGCTTGGTTCTCGTTTAACCGATCATGCGGGTAGATCTGTCTACGACTTTGCTTTGGCATATGGTCTAACACAACTGGTTACTTCGCCTACGCGGATCCCAGATGTGGAAGACCATGTACCTTCCCTGTTGGACCTTCTGCTGACCTCTCATCCGGACGGATATCAGGTCTCCGTCGATGCCCCTCTGGGCTCTTCGGACCATTGTCTGATCCGGAGCACGGTGCCACTCACGCTCCAATCGCAATTGCGATCTACAGCTAGCCGCCGTGTTTGGCACTATAGGTCAGCTGATTGGGACGGGATGCGGTCGTTTTTTGCATCCTACCCTTGGGGGCGGATTTGCTTCTCGCCGAAAGATCCCAGCGTTGTTGCCGATTCTGTTGCTGATGTGGTACTTCAGGGTATGGAATTTTTTATTCCATCCTGTGGTGCCCATCGGAGGCAGATCCCAGCCATGGTTTGGTCGCTCCTGTAAAATAGCATCACGCTATAAGCAGGAGTGCTACCGGGCCTGGGCTGACGCATCAACGTCTCGGGATTTAAACACCAGCGCACTTAAAAAGAAGTATAATTCCGCCTCCATGTCCTTCAAAAGCGTCATTGCCAAGGCAAGGTCTGAGCACATCGGCAGAATTGGCGAGAAGCTAGTTCGCCTTCCTTCAGGAACCCGTGCATTCTGGTATCTCGCCAAGGCTGTCCAAGGGAACTTCTGTCAGCCATCCCTTCCATCTCTGCACAGAGAGGACGACTCACTGGCCCATGCCGCAAAAGAGAAAGCCGATCTGTTGTGCTCTCTTTTTGCGTCTAACTCGACTCTAGATGACGGGGGGAGCACATCGCCGACTATCCCGCAATGTGAGTGCTCCATGCCGGATGTTCGATTTACACAGCGCTCGGTTCGCAAAGCACTCTTCTCCCTGGACGTCAGCAAGTCAAGTGGGCCCGATGGAGTCCCTCCCAATGTGCTGAAGACGTGTGCTCCGGAGTTGGCACCGGTTTTAACGCATCTTTTCCGGTACTCCTACTCCCAAGGCGTAGTCCCGAATTCATGGAAGACAGCTTTGGTCCACCCGATCCCTAAAAAAGGCGACCGCTCAGACCCGTCCAACTACAGGCCTATCGCCATCACCTCCTTGTTCTCCAAAATAATGAAATCCATTATAAACTGCCAGGTCATGAGGTACCTTGAGGATCACCAGCTGATCAGTGACCGTCAGTACGGTTTTCGTTGGGGTCGATCAGCAGGTGATCTTCTAGTTTACTTAACTCATAGATGGGCGGAGGCAGTAGAGTCCAAGGGGGAGGCATTGGCCGTTAGTTTGGACATAGCGAAGGCCTTCGATCGGGTCTGGCACAAGGCGCTTCTTTCGAAGCTTCCTTCCTATGGGCTTCCCGAGAAATTGTGCAAATGTATCACCAGTTTCCTTGCTGATCGGAGCATCAAGGTCGTAGTAGACGGTGCATGCTCTGATTTCAAGCCTATCAACGCTGGTGTTCCACAAGGCTGCGTGCTATCACCAACGCTGTTTCTCCTGCATATCAATGATATGTTGCTAACTGGTAGCATTCATTGCTATGCAGACGACAGCACTGGGGATGCCTTATATACCGGCCGTGCCAATATTTCTCGGGAAAACGTCGCCGAGTACCGGGACAAACTTGTGTCTGAAGTCGAGTCTTTGCTTAACAAAGTCTCGGATTGGGGCCGACTAAATCTAGTCCAGTTCAATCCCCAGAAGACATAAGTTTGCGCGTTTACCGCTAAAAAGAACCCCTTTTTCGTATCCCCTCAGTTTCAAGGCACTCTCCTTGCTGCCTCAGCCAGTATCGGAATCCTTGGCGTCGACATATCGAATAGCGTGCAGTTTCGTGGTCACTTGGAAGGGAAGGCCAAATTGGCCTCTAAAAAGCTTGGCGTGCTCAGCAGAGCGAGACAGTATTTCATGCCGGCACATCGCTTGCAACTTTACAAAGCGCAAGTTCGGCCCCACATGGAATACTGTTCTCATCTCTGGGCCGGGGCACCCCAGTGCCAGCTCCTTCCACTTGACCGCATTTAGCGCAGAGCGATTCGAATCGTCGGCGACCGAGTTCTTTCCGATCGGCTCGATACACTGGCACTGCGTAGAGATGTTGCATCTCTTTCCGTTTTTTATCGCATCTATCACGGGGAGTGCTCTGAGGAATTGTTCGGACTAATTCCAGCCGTTCAATTTCACCATTGCACGTCGCGACAAAACTTGCGTTACTATTCATACCATCTGGATAATTGGCGGTCCACCACTGTGCGATTTTGAAGAAGTCTTCTCCCTCGCACAACTTCTTTGTGGAATCAATTACCACCAGCGAATTTTCCGAACCGATACGACTTAGGAACCTTCAAGAAAAGAGCTTACACCTTTTTAAAAGGCCGGCAACGCATCTGCAATTCCCCTGGTGTTGCGGTTGTTCATGGGCGGCGGTAGTCACTTACCATCACGTGAGCCGCATGCCCGTTTGGGGCAAACTATACTATTCTATAAAAAAAAAGAACATATTGTCAAATTGAGACCTTTCTCTTTTTTCTTCAAGTCATACATTCCCTCGATGTCATACCAAATAAAAAGCTTAGGCTTAAACCTATATTTTCATTATCTCAACCTCTGCAGAAGAGTATTCATATCATAATTTAGAATATATTTTCTTTTTACAATTACATGGACATTTGCAGCAAGATCTACAACAGCAATTACTTTTAAAGCGTGATTTAATATTTGATCGATGTGCTTACGTAAAACATAACTTTTATAATAATTAATAGGTATTACGTTTGACAATAATTGTAATCTTTGGCATTCTTAGTTGAATAAGTGATTATTAAATTAATAATTGTCAATAGTGTTGTGACATGTCTTTCGTTATCCATAATTTACTGTTAATGTCCAGTTTACTGGTCTTTTGTAGTGTTACGTTATTTTTCTTGTTTTGAAGCGATTTAATGTTTGTGTATTGTGAATGCTTTTTGTTTTTATTGTTCCTGTGATTTGAAAGATATGAAAAGAATTTAAAGACCTTTTTCTGAGTGATATTTTGAATAAATAACGATTTCATCTCTCACTTGATTAGTTTTAAAAAGTGAAATTACAAGTGAAAACACAAATCACAAATAAAAAGAGGTCTTCTTCTCATTATTCAGAAGGATTTAGGGCAAGAAAATGTCCACCGCGCTGCTCCAATGCATGTTCGCGGAATTCACATGTCTTCGAAATATTCATATTCTCTGACCTTTTTGTCCTTAATCGTCGAACATACGGTGGTAGAGCCCTGCAGCAGTTTTTTGCTGTTGCACGTATGGGCCGGCTCGAGCCGGGTTGGTACCACGACCTCACAGAATACCGGCGTGAAGTAGAGGCTCTGCTTCTGCGTTTCGTCTGGTGAGTGCAGGTGGCCGGAGGCCCAATTCCCCCCCCCCCCCCCCCATCAACATGGTAGCGGAATTAGACAATAGACTACCCCAGGAGGGTACCAGTACCCCTGGAGAATCCCTCGCTGAGCATCCACGACCATGTTATTCCAATCCTGAGCGTGGGTGCTCAGGCTGCCCCGCGTATTCTGGGGGGGGGCAAAATTCCGCTCAAAAACAAAACTGCTCGGGGCAAGCTGAGCAACAATACCAAGGCGACCCCTGCCACGCTATCCGTGAATTTCTGCAACATCAGGGGACTTCACTCTAACCTAAACGCCGTCCACTACCATCTCGAGACGGCGAAGCCGGCCTTGCTCTTTTTGACCGAGACGCAGGTTTCCTCTCCGACTGATATTTCGTATCTCTCCTACCCGGGGTACAAATTGGAGCACTCCTTTGTGCCTCGGGCTGGAGTTTGCGTGTATGTTAGAGAGGACATCTGTTCTCGACGCCTCGGCAGTCTTGAAGGTTCGGACCTGTCCATCCTTTGGCTACGCGTAGACAGCGACGACCATCCGCGCGTCTACGGGTGCCTCTATAGGTCCCATAGCGGTAATGCCGAAACAGACCGACTCATCGACCACGTCCAAATGGCTACAGATTCCTTGCTACAACAGGTCCCATCCGCAGAGATCGTGATCCTTGGCGATTTTAACGCCCACCATGCCGAATGGCTCGGTTCACGTTTAACCAATCATGCGGGGAGATCTGTTTATGACTTTGCCTTGGCATATGGTCTGACACAACTGGTTACTTCGCCTACGCGGATTCCAGATGTGGAGGATCATACACCTTCCCTGTTGGACCTTCTGCTGACCTCTCATCCGGACGGATATCAGGTTTCTGTCGATGCCCCTCTCGGCTCTTCGGACCATTGTCTGATCCGGAGTATGGTGCCACTCACGCTCCCTTCGCGGTTGCGTTCTGCAGGTTGCCGCCGTGTTTGGCATTACAGGTCGGCGGATTGGGACGGAATGCGGTCTTTCTTTGCATCCTACCCATGGGGGCGGGTTTGCTTCTCGCCGGATGATCCCAGTGCTGTTGCTGACTCTGTCACTGATGTGGTGCTACAGGGAATGGAACTATTTATTCCATCATCTGTGGTACCCATCGGAGGCAGATCTCAGCCTTGGTTTGGTCGCTCCTGTAAGACTGCATTGCGCAGTAAGCAAGAGTGTTATCAAGCCTGGGCTGCGGCTTCGGTGACTCGGGATGTAAACACCAGCACACTTAAAAAGAAGTATAACTTCGCCTCCAGGTCCTTCAAAAGAGTTATTGCCAAGGCAAAGTCAGAGCACATAGGCAGAATTGGCGAGAAACTAGTTCGCCTTCCTTCGGGAACCCGTGCATTCTGGTCTCTCGCCAAGGCTGTCCAAGGGAATTTCTGTAAGCCATCACTACCATCTCTGCACAGGGAGGACGACTCACTGGCCCAAGACGCAAAAGACAAAGCCGACCTTTTAGGCTCCCTTTTTGCGTCCAACTCGACTCTTGATGACGGGGGGGAAATACCGCCGACCATCCCGCGGTGTGAGTGCTCCATGCCGGATGTGCTATTCTCACAGCGCTCAGTTCGCAAAGCACTTCTCTCCCTGGACATCCAGAAGTCGAGTGGGCCTGACGGAATCCCCCCAATTGTGCTGAGGACGTGTGCTCCGGAGTTGGCACCGGTCCTAACGCGTCTTTTCCGGTACTCCTACACCCAAGGCGTAGTCCCAAATTCATGGAAGACAGCTTTTGTCCACCCGATCCCTAAAAAAGGCGACCGCTCAGACCCGTCCAACTATAGGCCTATCGCGATCACCTCCTTGTTCTCCAAAATAATGGAATCCATTATTAACTGCCAGCTCATCCGGTACCTTGAGGATCACCAGCTGATTAGTGACCGCCAATACGGTTTTCGTCGGGGTCGATCAGCTGGTGATCTTCTGGTCTACCTGACCCATAGATGGGCGAAGGCAGTAGAGTCCAAGGGGGAGGCGTTGGCCGTTAGTCTGGACATTGCGAAGGCCTTTGATCGGGTTTGGCACAAAGCGCTTCTTTCGAAGCTGCCTTCCTATGGGCTTCCCGAGAAATTGTGCAATTGGATCACCAGCTTTCTTGCAGTTCGGAGCATCAAGGTCGTTGTAGACGGTGCATGTTCTGACTACAAGCCTATTAACGCTGGTGTTCCACAAGGCTGTGTGCTATCACCAACGCTGTTTCTTCTGCATATCAATGATATGTTGCTAACTGGTAACATTCATTGCTATGCGGATGACAGCACTGGTGATGCTCTATACACCGGCCGGGCCAATATTTCTCGGGAAAACGTCGCCGAGTACCGGAACAAACTTGTGTCTGAAGTCGAGTCTTTGCTGGACAAAGTCTCGGATTGGGGGCGACTAAATCTAGTCCAGTTTAATCCTCAGAAGACACAAGTTTGCGCGTTTACCGCTAAAAAGAACCCCTTTGTCGTATCTCCTCAGTTTCAAGGCACTCCCCTTCTTGCCTCAGCCAGTATCGGTATCCTCGGAGTCGACATATCGAGTGACGTGCAGTTTCGTGGTCACTTGGAAGAGAAGGCCAAATTGGCCTCTAAAAAGCTTGGCGTGCTCAGCAGAGCGGGACAGTATTTCATGCCGGCACACCGCCTGCAACTTTACAAGGCGCAGGTTCGGCCTCACATGGAATACTGTTCCCATCTCTGGGCAGGGGCTCCCCAGTGCCAGCTCCTTCCACTTGACCGCATCCAGCGCAGAGCGGCTCGAATCGTCGACGACCGAGCCCTTTCCGATCGGCTCGATTCATTGGCACTGCGAAGAGATGTTGCATCTCTTTGCATTTTCTTTCGCATCTACCATGGGGAGTGCTCTGAGGAATTGTTCGGATTAATCCCAGCCGCCAAATTTCACGAACGCACATCGCGGCAGAACTCCCGATACCATCCACACCATCTGGATGATTGGCGGTCCACCACTGTGCGATTTAGAAGATGTTTTCTTCCTCGCACAACTTCCTTGTGGAATAGTTTACCACCAGGGATTTTTCCGGACCGATACGACTTAGGGACCTTCAAGAAAAGAGCCTACTCCTTTTTAAAAGGCCGGCAACGCATCTGCAATTCCCCTGGTGTTGCGGTTGTTCATGGGCGGCGGTAGTCACTTACCATCAGGTGAGCCGCATGCTCGTTTGCCCCCTCTCCTATAAAAAAAAAAAAAAAAAAACATGTAGTAAATCAAGTCTATTGGTATTCAAATTTTATTGGTGCTGGCAAGCAAGCAAACCAGCTTTTTTATTTTTTTATGATTTTTTTTTTGCTTCTTTCTATTTAGCTTTTATTTTTAAAATTTAAAGACTTAATTTTTTTAAAAATAATACATTAAAAAGTTTTTTTTTTTGTAAATATCCAGAGGTTATTATTTTACGAATTTTATGCCTTAAACCCAATATGAGAATAGTCACAATATTAACACGGAAAGTAATTAAAAATAGCGATTACTAAGTATTTCAAAAAATATATACTTCTTACTGTTTCATACGAAACCTGCATAATCATATATTTTTTACAACGTGTACGCAACATGTAATCAGGTGTTTCTTTTACACGTGTCCTGATCATGTGTATTTAGAACAAAGTAATAGTATTTATAAAAGGGCTGTCACAAAATCTCAGAAGACCAGACACTTTCTACTTTGACTAATTTCCGTAATCACCAATCTTGGCTAGCGGGTTAGCAGGATAAAAATATTTATTCCTCATTTCTGGTTTTAAAAAATTAAACCCTTAACCAATTAAAATTAGCTAGACTGCAATGTCATTTGTTACTTACTTTAATTTAAAGAATTTATTTTAATTGTTCATCATCAAAGCCTATCAAAAGTTCAATGCTGCACACGAGGAGTCCTATATCGTATATTGCCTTGTACGTAGAATATTGATTTGCGCTAGTTACCAAGCTTGGCTACAATTGGCTACAATAAAGTAGACTAATGAGCTCGCGGTCTACCTACATGCCCATGCTGTGGCCCATAGATATCTCACCCTCATTTGAGAATGAAAATGCACATGCGTTGCCACCCCTGAAGAATAAGATAGAATGCCTCATATACATAAACATAAACACTCACGCCTGTCACCCAGAGGGGTAGGCAGAGACTACGGATTTCCATTTGGCGCGATCCTGACACACCTCTCTCGCCTCTTTTACATCCATATATCTACGCATACACGCTCGTCGGTTAAGGGTACTCCTAATCTGGCCGATTTGGTCGATAAACCTTCGTCTAGGGCGTCCCTTCCCGACCCTGCCGTTCACTTCTGCAACATAAATTTGCTTTGTCACTCTTTCCTCGTTCATTATTTCTACATGACCAAACCACCGAAGCATTCCTTTCTTAATCCTTGTCACAACGTCATCTTGCAAACCACACTTTTCTCTTATCACACTATTTCTCACCCTGTCATTCAGATTCAGCCCTAGCATACTCCTAGAATGCCTCAATTCCAGTAAAAAGAGGTTCCGGTTCTCTATATTCACCATCCGGAACACAGCAGCGTTAAACTGCTATTTTACGCGAGTGTTCTGTGAGAGTATAGTCCTTCTCCTGGTTACTCTTACACCGCCACTGTACGGTCCCGGTAACATTACAATTGTTAATAACCCATTATCTATCATTACAGATGCTACGTACCAGAGTGCGATCTAATCGACTCCAGATTCAATGCTAGCTGGGTAGATTCGGTACTGAACAAAACAGAATTATGTCAAAGACTAGAACCCTATGATATAACAAAGAATACCTCTGTAGTCGAGGATTTGAGTTCCTTAAGAGTGAACAATAGTAAATGTTTACTGCAGATGTTCGACGAAAAGAGAACGATGCCCTGCGAGAAGTTGGTGTATGAAGATTACAACAGTATTGTGGCCGAGGTAAGACTATTCTTCACCTGGTAACATCAGTTAACAGGTTTATAGACCATAGACCACACACCACAGACAACATATTTTTTTAACTGAAACATTTATGAAATAGAAAACAAAAAATAATCTTCCAGATTGAATAAGTTGTCTAGGCAGGTAAAAGTAAAAGTATAAAGTACTGCTACATTATTTTAAAGGCCTTCTTGTTGAAATAAAAACTGTTTTAATTTGAATTTATTAATTCTTTACTATTTTGTATATTGATCTTATAATTAATAAAATATGTCAGAAATTCTGTTTGGACCAAAAAAAATGATATTATCACACGATATTATTTTCAGCTTTAAAATCACTTTTTTTCGAAAAAAGAACGAGATTACAGTATCTTGAAGACTAACGGTCGTGATCGTTGGTGCTGTAATGTACAATAAAAATCAAATATTTAAAAAAAAAGTTAATATTTAACACGATAAAATACTTTCACGTTAAAATAACAATAATCATCTTTATCGTCTTCATAGCCCAAAGGCTTATGGCTGCGGCGCTGTGGCTCGCTGATACGAACTCCGTATGGAAAATAATTCGTATAGTCTGCAAATAATTATCCTGGTTTGGCTTGATATTAGAATCAGAATCAGAAATTAATTGGCCATAATATAACTATAGTTACAGGCAAGTCATTGGTTACAAAAGTTCTTAAATTCATGAGGCTAAATTACATTATTATACTATATATACTATGTGCCGTGTAGTGGCGGTCAAGAATATCCACTACCCCATATCCTCCCGTGGGTGTCGTAAAAGGCGACAAAGGGAAACAGGCAGGAGATGGGCAGCAGCATCTTCCTAATAATAGCCAAATTACAATAAAAAAAACTGCGGTTGCCAACCCGCTCGCCAAGCGTGGCAACTATGGCAAATACCCCCCCTATGAATGACAGTAACAAAAAAACGGCCCCCAGTCCCCGGCGGCCCCGCTATTCCTGGCTACGGTGGCGACCATGGTAACGGCGGGGCAGGGGGTGCTAAGAATCTCCGGTGGAGGTTCAGTTGCCACCTTAGACGACTCGACCTGGCAACGTACAACGCACGCACCCTGAGGACTGACGAGAAGATCGTGGAGCTGGAAGAAGAGATAGACAAGTTGCGCTGGCATATTATAGGATTATCCGAAGTCCGAAGAGAGGGGGAGGACACGGTAATCCTCGAATCCGGCAACTTGCTCTATCACCGGGAGGGCGACCATCTGTCCCAAGGAGGTGTCGGATTTATCGTCCACAAGTCTCTCGTTAACAACGTTGTAAAGATCGGGAGTGTGTCGACGAGGGTTGCGTACCTTATACTCAGAATCACCAAACGGTATTCGCTGAAGGTCATACAGGTTTACGCACCAACCTCGGCACACCCCGATGAGGAGGTGGAGGAAATGTATGAGGATATCTCTAGAGCCATGCATTCCTCCAAAACCCAATATACAGTGTTGATGGGAGACTTCAATGCAAAACTAGGCACAAGAGAGAACGGTGAGCTGAAAGTAGGGAAATTTGGAATAGGGCAACGGAACCCAAGGGGCCAGCAGCTGGCCGACTTCATGGAGAAAGAGGGACTCTTTATGATAAACTCTTTCTTCCAGAAGCGGCCCCACAGGAAGTGGACCTGGTCGAGCCCCGACGGTTCCACAAAAAATGAGATTGACTTCATTATGACGACCAGACGACAACTGTTCAGTGATGTCTCAGTGATCGCGAGGGTGAAAACTGGTAGCGATCACCGAATGGTTAGAGGCACACTGAACCTAAACGTTAAGTTGGAGAGGTCTCATCTAATGAAGTCAACGCTCCGTCCCCCTCGTGCTCTGTTTCAAAGTCCCGAAACCTTTCAGCTCGAGTTACAAAACCGTTTTCAGTGCCTGGAAGACTGCAATGAAGTGGACGATATGAATGACAAGCTCGTGGAAACTGTCCATGCGGTCGGAGCTAAGTTCTGCAAGACCCGCCGCAGAAGAACACAAAAACTCTCCGATCACACTCTTAATCTCATGGCTGTTAGACGGGAGATGAAGCTACATTCTTCAACAGACTTGACAGCATACAGGCATCTGAACAGACAGATCTCCAAATGCATGCGGCGGGACTTACGCAACTTCAATACAGCTCGTATTGAAGAAGCGATCGAGCGGAACCAAGGCTCCAAAATCTTTGCCAGAGATCTGTCTGCCAGAAAGAGCCAACTGTCAAAGCTGAAGACAGAATGTGGCAGCATCGTTTCCGGGACACCTGAGATTTTGAGTGAGATTGAGAGGTTCTATGGGCAGCTGTACACATCATCGTTGGAGCCACACGCAAGTGTGAGTAACGATCCAAGAGCGAGTCTCATCCGATACTATTCCGAAGATATCCCGGATGTCAGTCTGAGCGAGATTAGGATGGCTCTCCAGCACCTTAAAAACGGTAAGGCCCCAGGCGAGGATGGAATTACAGCGGAGCTTCTGAAAGCGGGTGGAAGACCGGTACTTGAAGTCCTTCAGAAGCTCTTTAATTCCGTCCTCCATGGTGGCATTACACCGGAGGCGTGGAGCAGAAGTGCGGTGGTCTTGTTCTTCAAGAAAGGTGACAACGCTCTCTTGAAAAACTATAGACCGATTTCCCTTCTGCTTTAGCACCATAGACCACATACATACCCTTCGGCAAGTTGTACAGAAGTCCGAGGAGTACAATTTGCCACTATGTCTGGCGTATGTGGACTATGAGAAAGCCTTTGATTCCGTCGAAATTTGGGCGGTGCTGCAGTCCCTTCAGCGGTGCCAAGTTGACTGTCGGTATATCGAAGTGTTGAAGTGCTTGTACAGTAGGGCTACGATGGCTATCCGAGTACAGAACCAGAGTACGAAACCTATCCAATTGCAGAGAGGTGTAAGACAGGGTGACGTCATATCCCCGAAACTCTTCACCGCTGCATTGGAAGACGTTTTCAAGCTTCTGGACTGGAAAGGATACGGTATCAACATCAATGGCGAGTACATCACTCACCTTCGATTTGCCGACGATATAGTCCTTATGGCAGAATCGCTGGAGGACCTAAGCACTATGCTCAATGACCTCAATAGTGTTTCCCAACGGATAGGTCTTAAGATGAACATGGACAAAACAAAGATCATGTTTAATGTCCATGTCACACCTATGCCGGTAGTTGTTGGGAGCACTAAGCTCGAAGTTGTTGACGAGTATGTTTACCTGGGACAAATAGTCCGACTGGGTAAGTCCAACTTCGACCGAGAGGTCAATCGACGGATTCAACTCGGCTGGGCAGCGTTCGGGAAGCTACGACACATCTTCTCGTCAGACATACCTCAAAACCTTAAAACGAAATTGTACAACCAGTGCGTGTTGCCAGTGATGACTTACGGAACTGAGACGTGGTCCTTCACTGCTGGCCGTATGAGGAAGCTCAAGGTCGCTCAGCGAGCTATGGAGAGGGCTATGCTCGGAGTTTCTCTGCGTGATAAACTTAGGAATGAGGATATCCGCAGTAGAACCGGAGTGACCGACATAGCCCAACGGATTAGTAAGCTGAAGTGGCAGTGGGCCGGCCATATAGCTCGAAGAACCGACAACCGATGGGGAAGAAAGGTTCTCGAGTGGCAGCCTCGTACCGGTAGGCGAAGTGTAGGGCGTCCCCCCACGAGATGGAGTGACGACCTGGTAAGACATGCAGGAAGTCGATGGATGCAGGTGGCTCAGGACCGTGTTTTGTGGCATTCTTTGGGGGAGGCCTATGTTCAGCAGTGGACTTGTGAAGGGCTGTAATGATGAATGATGATGAATGACTTTATAGCTTAATTTAGTTACATTGACGCTTTACATCATAGAATTAGGTAAGTTATTTTGTTTGCACGTTACACAAGAATGATAATTCCAAGAGTTGCATTGACATATATTCCCTTAATTTGTAAAATGGGTTATTTTCAAAAAAATACTTAAGTTTCCGTTTAAATTTGCTACAGTTTAGAATGGTTAAACTTTTTCGTAATTTATTATACCTACTTCAATATTTTTGAGTAACGCCCGTTTCTTTTTTTTTTACTTTGGCTAATCTATTCATTATTACGCAGATTGTGTTGATTTACGTCTTTCTTTTTCAGTATTTCTTTATCCTCTTGTACCTCTAATAAACTATTAAATAATATATAAAGCAACACCACCGTCATTATTTTGTCGTTCTTAAAATATTTTCTTCCCGGTCTGTTTTTTTTTCAGACCATTGATTGTTCTTATAGACTGTTTTTGAAATTTTAAAACTTTTGTAATATCTGTAGCATTATCCCAAATAGTAATGGCATACCTTATTATAGAATGAATATAGGCATAGTACACAGATATTAGTGTATTTTTATCTAATAATGGCTTGAGTTTAAATAATGTATAATTACAGCTAGCTATGTTCTTACAATTTCTTAATGTGATCTTTGTGGTTGATTGTGTTATCTACCGTATACTCGATAAATACATTTTATTTTTAGTCGAGTTACCATAAATGCCTAACCTCGATTGATAATTTATAACAATGCTTTTATCTGAATTCAGAATAAATCCATTTGCGCCAAACAATTCTTTTAGCAAGACTATAACATTATCATATTTAATTTCTAAATTTGATAGACTTTTGTCTCTTAAACCAACATGTTGTGAAACATCTGCAAATAAACTTAAATGTTTATAGTCTGGAATTGCATTACCAAGATCATTAATATAGGCAAAAAACAAAATAGGACCTAAGATCGAGCCTTGTGGTACTCCGATCGACACAGAACTAAAGAGAAGAGAAGAACGAAAGAGTCTTTAAACTGTGATATTGGTCCATTTGTAATTTATGTCCGTACATATACACCACTATGATACAAGAGAAACCGATAATTGTTTTGTAAAATATTATGAATTTTTTGGGTAGCCATTTAATAAATTTTAATACAAATGTAGTTAAAAATATAGAATTTAATTTTTGCTCTTAATTGATTTTAGTCTCCCCCATGCTAATGTAAAGCACCCAAAACTTCAGGTATTAAAATAAGTAAAAACAAATTAAATTAAACGCGATAAAATATGAAAATTAATTTTATTCAATGTGTAAGTATAAAAAAGGACATTGATACAATTGGCATATAAATCAACATTTACAACAACTTTACGATAGTTACTAATTTTTTTAATGATTTACATAAGAATAATTACATTAGACACTTCTGAATTTCGAAAACAATTTAAGGGTAATATCACTTTATTGGTCCTATATTTTTATTTTTTTTATTCAATTCGACGTTTTGACTAGGCAAGGGTATGCAAAATAATTTTAAAAAAACTTAGCACTTTCAGCGCTTGATCTATAGATAGGGTTTTTAATTACAAACAGATTAAAACGATGAAAAGCTTTATTCTTGCTATGAGTTTAAATATGATATAATACTTTCTTATTTTATAAGGTGCTACATTTAGTAACATTGAATGGAGTCGACAGTGTTAACTGGTAGACAATGCCAGACATTCTCGCCCATTGTAACCTTAGTTTAAGGTATCTTACAATACAGATTAAATAAATAAATAAATAGCACTTAAATAAATAAATAGCTTTTCAAACATTTAACCTATTATTAAAATTGAAAATACTGCCATTTAGCGGTGCATCCAAACAATGCGTACGTTGTCTAATGCTAGTGCTACTACAAGTTCAAGGATTTGAAATAAAGTGGCCTGCAAATTAGCATGGTGGTTGCAGCGCTTATTTCTATGGAAATTATGGTGTTTACACACCGCATTAACCACGATCGTGTCATGCTTTATAATGGCAGTGAATTGAAAGAGACATCTAATAATGAATAACGTATAATCTCTTTAGTAATTCTTATATTCACTTTTATTAAATTACTGGAATATTTTTAGTCTATCAAATAAATACGTGGAGCCACGCTACAATTAGGAGTATATTACGTTTGTAGCACGAGTGGGTCGGCATTACCGGGGTAGGACCACTCGCGATACCATCCATACCATCTGGATGGTAATCCACCACTGTGCGATTTAGAAGAAGTTTTCTTCCTTGCACAACTTCCTTGTGGAATCGATTACTATCAACGATTTTTCTTTACTCCTTTTTAAAAGGTCTGCAACGCATCTGCAATTACCCTGGTGTTGCAGTTTTTCATGGGCAGTGGTTGTCACTTATCATCATATATTTAAAAAACGCTCTTACAGAATACCAGCGTAAAATGGTAGCTTAATGCTGCTGTGTTTCGTATGTGAGTGTAACGAAACGGAGATAAAACGAAACATCCCATCTTAGTCATCTGCATTTAGATCTTTGAATGAAGATAAATATAGATGTCTATGGGCCACAGCATCCATTTACCATCATGTGGACTGCGTGTTCGACTGTCACCCTTATTCAAAAAAAATCTTGTATAAGACATTTTGTAATCTATTCTATCATATTATAACAGCTAGCGTTATTGCTACTTCCGTTTACGAACTAATTACGAAGCGCTTAAATATTAATCTATGGCTATTTAAATCTGTTTTTCCGTCCGATTACAATCTGGAGTGTATAGTGTCATGCAATGAAATCACTGCATCTGTGTAAACATTTCATTTCATTGCATGCAGTAATGTATACAGTTATATAACTCTCGACATTGATTTTTGAGAAAAGAAAAGTTTTTTCTTTACTAATCATGATTTGATACATATTTGATAATAACACCTGGGAATGAGAGTTGTGAATTGGTGTAATAATAATTATCTGAAATTATTTTTAATTAAATAAAATTAGACCTGAGGGTATTTTTAGTCAGCCAGCCCGTAAAAGTCTACAGCTTGACAAGTGGCTCTCCCGTTATAGTGTTTATTCGACACGCTTGGCATCTCACTCCTGTACTGATTCTGTATGGCTGATTCAGAAACTAATTTTGTTTTACAGAAGAGGGCCATTAGAGCTATTTACAACCTTAAACCGAGAGAGTCTCTTAGAGATAAATTTAAAGAAATAAATATATTAAATTTGGCCTCTCGGTATATTTACGAAAATTTAATGTATGTTCACAAAAACAAAGGTAGTTTTAGTAAAAAAAGTGATATACATTCTGTAAACACTAGGAACAAACACAAGCTAGTGATACCAGTTTCTCGACTCCACAGAGTCAGTAATTCATTCTTGGGGCAATGTATACGCTATTACAACAAGGTCCCGGAAAGTGTACAGGGTTTCTCTATTAGCAAGTTTAAATGTTTTCTTAAGTTGAAATTGTATAAAAAGGGTTATTATAGTATAAATGAATACATGGTTGATAATAAACCCCTGAGAATGAGGTGATCGCTTCCAAGCTGTTTCTAAAATAAATTTTGTACTTATATAGTTTGTACAACAATTAATGTAAAATTTGCTTTAAAAAACAAGTCCCGCTGGTTTTTTGCGGGTTCTTCCCAGGACAGAGGTTTTTTTTCGAACCAGTGGTAAAGTAAAAAATTACTTTCAATAAGAATTACACATGTGATCTATATTGAATAAAAAAATATTCTATTTTATTCTATTCTATTCTATTCTATTCTGTAACGCTGCTGCTCTCTTAGCTCTGGGTATTTTACGTCTGTCAAAAACGAGATTTTTACATCGCCATGTATTTAAAGACATACAGAATCGTATGTCTCTTCGGTATTCTCTGGCTCCGTAGCGCAGTGGCTTAGCAATAAGTTGAAGCGCTAAGTTCAAATCCCTCACAGAACAAGGATTTGCATGCCTACAAATAATTGTCCCGGTTCTAGATGTTTGAATTATTTTCACGTACATTACTCATAATAATAAAATCCGAGGGCGGGTTGAATCCGTTTTGCGTACAGCTTTCTATGAGAACTAATAATCTAACGCTCACGAGATGTCGCTAGTTGAGCTAAGGAGACTTATTTGTTACGCAGATATCATCATTATTTAAAAGTTGCGATTTAATTAAGTTTTTGGTTTCTAGTGTATGTCTTAACACAAAAAATGCCTCAGTGCTGTACATACTATAATTATTTTATAAAACTTTACTATATTTTAATTTTTTACATATGTTTTACTTTTTATAATTCATCTACTTTTAAGAATATTCTTAGTTTAGATAATCCATTTCTTACACTTTTCTAACAAATTAACTTCCCCCCCTTATTTAATCTGTGAAATATTTCACTTCATTCCGCGCCTCCGTGGTGGCAGAAAAAGTGGATGCCTAAAGCCTTGTTTTTGATTATCTTCCAGTTTGACCTGGGCTGTCAGCCATGGAAGAGAACGTTAATCGGAACAATCCACAATCTTGGACTTGTGTTTTCTTATATATTGTCCGGAGTTATATCAGACAGGTGAGCAAACAGTTTCTTTCAAAGATTGAACTGATGATTTGACTGGTGAAAGATTGACTGATTTCTATACTCAGTAAACGCTTTGTTCTTGAGTAAAGGAATCAGACATTAGACTTTGTTCCAAATCCTTACTTCTATAATAAAAAGTAAAAAGTTTATTTATAGATGTAGTAAATTCGCAGATACGGTCGAAAGGTAATAATAGTGGGGACGCCATTAATGGTCGGTGCGGCGGGCCTGCTCAAATCTTTCTCAGTCAATTACTGGATGCTGCTCGTGCTGGAATTCCTTGAGACTGCGCTCGGCTACGGCAACGCTTCCTTAGTCCTATGTGAGTTGATTTTAATTCATATTGTTGTGCACCGGACTAATTTTAAACACGAAATTAGGTGAAGAAAAATCGTTGTGTATCCTTACTAAAGCCACAAGTATGATGTTATTATTAATAGCCACGGCATAAGTATCTCTGTCACCTAGTTCTCAGGCTTGGCAGGCTGCATCTTTATGGTGAATAATTTACATGATTTTATTTTTCTCTATATTAATTTATTCTGGGGCTGCATTCCTCAAGATTTTTTATAGAAATAAGGTGACAAACGATCTCACAGTCCACCTGATGGTAAGTGGTTGCTGAGGTCCATATACATCTACATCTATCCTCGTTTGCAAATCAAAATGCAGATGCGTTGTCAGCCTTGAGGACTAAGATGAAATGCCTCTTTTCCAGTAAAAAGGGTCTCCGGTTCTCTACACTCTTCATACGAAACACAGCAGCATTAAGCTGCTAAATTAAATAGAGTAAGTAGTATGTCTTTTTAAATTTTATTTTTATTTTTCCAGCACTCGAAACCGTCAGTCAGCAGAGCAGGGTAGTTTATTCCTGCATATCAGATATTCTCTCCAATTTTGGGGGCGCATTATTTGGCTTAATAGCTTGGAAGATCCCCTACTGGAGACATTTGATGAGAGCCATATACGCCCCACTATTGGTGGTGGTATTCTATATATTCCTCGTCGACGAGGGCGTCCGGTGGCTTCTGGCTCACAATAAGAAGCAAGAAGCTGTGAGGGTGCTGAATAAAGTAGCCAAAATTAATAACATTACGTTGTCTAATAAAGCGAAGGAGATGTTGACCAAGATAACTGAAGAGAAGAGTAAGGCTGACCAAGTAAGAGAAGTTACATTTTCAATTTAGGTAGTAAGCCTTTTTTTCCTAGAGTTCTAACTATTTCCACTGCCAAGCAACTGCGTTGGCTCTGCCGTCTTTCGCTTTTGAGAGTATTCATAAGCCAGAATAATACAAGCTGTCAGGCCTTCAAGCAAGCATGCGAGAGGCTATTATTCTTCTGTTACCATCTTTTTCGTTAAAATTGTATATGGGTTGAAAGCTGTTAATGTTAGCTCATTTGATACTCCAGTATCATAAAAAATGATTAATAAATAAATAAAGTAAAGCGTAAGTAGTCTCAAGTAACTAAAGTACTTTCACCAAAGAAGTCCCGAGGAAATATGCGAAATTAAATATATATTTTATACGTGGTAGAGCCATGCTGCAGCTATATTAATAATATAGTTGTAGCACGAATGGGTCGACTCGACCGGGGAAAGGACCACGCTCTCACAAAATACCAGCGTAAAATAGCAGATTAATGCTGCTGTGTTTCGTATGGTGAGTGTAGAGAACCGGAGACCCAATTTACTAGAAAAGAGGCATTCAATCTTAGTCCTCATGGCTAACAAAGCATCTGCATTTTATTTCGCAAACGAAGATAGATAGATGTAGATGTCTATGGGCCACAGCAACCACTTTCCTTCCTCCAGTCCTTCAGGTGGACTTTGTGATTGTTTGTCACCAACATTCTATAAATAATATATATATAGCGAAATATATTCGGGAACACTATGTTACCGGGGCTAATCGATATCTTTCGGGAGTAAAACTCTTATGCCCAAATACTCAAAAGCTACCTAATTTTGAAATGCCGTTACGTCTCGTGCTGTCTCACTCACGTGTTTTATAATACGACAAGCGAATCTGATTATGACTAAGATGGAAGGACTTTTAATACCCAGAAAGACAGCAGTGCATTCACTTGTATTTGGAAGCAGAAATAGTTAAGAAAATGGTTTCTACACAGACGGACTTCTAAAACGTAAGGGAATTTCATCTTAGTCCTCAGACTTAGACTCTTAATCGAGGATAGATGTGGTTGTCTATGGGCCACGGAATCCACTTGACTGTGAGTTCAATTGACACCCTTATTCTATAAAAAAACATTCCGTAATTATACTTTATTTAAAAGTAACTTTGATATATGGTTCTAAGAATTAAACTTAAAATTAAACTTTTAGATGGTGCAAGCTTGTTCAGACCACCCACCGCCAATCTTCTCGGTTCTCCGCTCCAAGAAGATACTCCTTCGTATAGCGCTCATATCTGCCAGCTTCTTCTGCTGCATGTTCGTGTACAGTGGTGCCATAATCAACTCAACGTACATCTCCGGCAGCAAGTATCTCAACTTCTCAGCCATTAATCTGGTAGCTGTGCCGACGCGGATCATCACGGCGCTTACTCTCAATCGATTTGGAAGGAAAACACCGATCTGTGTAGCGTACTGCTTGTGTGCATTGTTCTTTATGATGTCGGCTTTTGTGCCCAAATGTAAGTAACCCCTTAAAAGTAAATTTTATTTAAGTACAATGATTTTAAAATATGTCTATCGCCTTGTAATTATATTGTCTTTAGTACTAATTTAACTTAAAAGACACATCTGTAACTTATTTCAAAGATTAATAGTAAATAGCCTATATAAATCCCACAGATAGGTACACGTCTGCTTATTTTTAGAGGCTTACGGAGCAGTACAGTCCACGTAAACGCACTGTATCAGAGTATACGACTACCGCCCTGCTACAGAGCGTTTACGTGGACTTCAAACCCCTTCAAAATATTTGATTCCTTAGAAATGTAGGCGCCCTCACGATATTTTTTCTCACTGTCGAACACCTTGCAAAACAGCACTTAAAATTTCTTCAAACATTTTTATACGTGGTAGAGCCATGCTGCAGCTATATTATGGTTGTAGCGCGAATGGGTCGGCTCGACCGGGGAAGGACCACGCTCTCACAGAATACCAGCGTCAAATAGCAGCTTAACGCTGCTGTGTTTCGTATGGTGAGTGTAGAGAACCGGAGACCCTTTTTACTGGAAACGAGGCATTCCATCTTAGTCCTCACGGGTGACAACGCATCTACATTTTCATTCATAATCGAATACAGATGTAGATATCTATGGGCCACAGCAACCACTTACCATCAGGTGGACTGTGTGCTCGTTTGTTACCCTTGTCCTATAAAAAAATTGGTGGCGGCGGGAATCGAAATCCTATTACACGGGTACAGCGAAATTTACAGCGTGCGTTTAGCTGTGGCAGCTCTCACTGAGCTGGCACGGCTCATTGAATGAAATGAACACCAATAATAAATGTGAACATAAGCCTATATAAAATGAGATAAATTCCGTGTAGGGCACCGAATGCTCACGTTAGTTGTGTTGATTTCGTATGGCCGGGATTATAATAACGCGAATACTCGCGTGTGTTGAGATTGGTTAGAAAATACCATTTAACACAAATCTTTGAGAGAAATATTATAAAGAGATATGATTCTTTATCGGATCGGTCACGGTAGCCATTCTTAATGGAGGAGATTAAAGTTCCCGAGTGCATGCGAAATCACAGTTGCACTCTCTATTCCTTCACTCTCTTGACTTGACATGACTGGGGAGAGATCAAGCACTGGACTATTTGTGCTTTAAAACACTGTGCTTGTCCTGCTTTAAAACACTGTCAATATCTTGAATCACCTGGTACTGAGAATTTTTCTACAGGAAACTCCATAACTGCTTTTTGTCGTCGTATAGACGGTATTTTTATACTTAAGGTATTAAACATTCATTATTAAATCCGCGTGAAAAAATATAACATTTGTGTCTTACCTAATTTGAACAGCACCTACCGCCCTTCCTTCAATTGAGTACACCATTCCCGCCATTATTAATCAATTCCAACACCACTACTTTCAACACTACTCCAGCGTTAGCGGTTGGCCATCGCAGAGTCCATTTCTCCTTAGGACGCCTCATTTAGTGGCGAAACACTCGTCGATTAATCTAAGTTAAGTCCATACCATTAAGAGAGAGTAGGAAGTGCACTACAAACACATCTTTTTTATTTTTTTACTTGGTAAACTGATTGTTATGAAACCTTACAAACATAGAGAGAGCCATGTCAAAAGTGATCTTGGCTATATTCATCGGGAAAACTCGGACATTAAAAAAATCAGGGTGTGGCTGTGACGTGAACACTGCTGTGTGTTTTACGTGAATACATGTAAAATAACGAAACTACCTCAAAATGGCGGCACACCCCCTCCACCCCGCGCGATGAGTCACAGTTCCCAGACAGTGTACCGATTTTTTTGATCCTATAACTATCGATGCAATACCAAACGATTCATGTCAAAAAACGAAATGTTGATAAAATAAATTATCTATAATTATCCGAAACGTTAACAACGCCTTTTTAATACATCCTATTCTTTAATGTAACAGATTTCCACGAAGTGAGTTTTTTTTTTTACTTCAACAGCAATATGGTGGGCGTCTATCATGTTTTACCTTGCGGGCAACATGTGCAGCAGTTACGGCATCTTCTCCATGACGGTGGTCACGATGGAAGTGTTCCCCACTACCTCGCGCAACTCACTCACCAACATTGCAAACACTGTTGGTCGGTTGGGCTCGGCCCTGGCACCGCAGACACCGCTTCTTGTGAGTATAGAAGTCTTTAAACTGAAACGAAGTCGAAAAAGTTTACGTGGTAGAGCCATGCTGCAGCTATATTAGTTAGTAGTATAATTGTAGCACGAATGGGTCGGCTCGACCGGGGAAGGACCACGCTCTCACAGAAAACCAGTGTAAAATAGCAGCTTAACGCTGCTGTGTTTCGTATGGTGAGTGAAGAGAACCGGAGACCCTTTTTACTGGCAAAGAGGCATTCCATTTTAGTCCTCACGGGTGACAACGCATCTACATCTTGAGTCTTTATTGAGGATAGATGTAGATGTCTATGGGTCACAGTAACCACTTACCATCAGGTCGACTGTGTGCTCGTTTGTCACCCTATCCTATAAAAAAAAGTTCACTTCACTCAGTGAACTATGGTATAGGTTTTGCTCGGAGTTTGAATGAATAAACATAATATACTTTATTGTACACCGAAAAATAAGAGAAAAAAGAATACAAATTTTAAAAATATAAAAGGTACAATTGGCGGCCTTATTATTAAAAGCGACCTCTATCAGGCAACCACATAGCAGAGGATATAATGGCCAATGAGAAAAGTTAAGAGTGTACGCAAGTTAAGAGTTTCTCTACGTGATAGAATTCGTAATGAAGATACACGCAGTAGAACCAGGGTCTACAAACATATCCCAATAGACCATCAAACAAAGGTCGGCCATATAAATCGAAAAATGAACAACAAGGATGGTTCTCGAGAGGCAACCTTGTACCGATAAACGAAGTGGTGGGCAGCTCATCTCAGTGAGCACACAGTCCATCTGATGGTAAGTTGATGCTGTGGCCAATAGACATCTACGTTTATACTTGATTAAGAATCAAAATGCAAATATGTTGTCACCCCTGAGGATGAAGATGGAATGCCTTGTTTCCAATAAAAAAGGTCTCCGGTTCTCTACACTCACATTTGAAACAAACATTTAGCTGTCTCTTACTCTGATATTCCGTGAGAGTGTGGTCCTTCCCCGGTCAAGCCGACTCATTTGTGCCACATCCATGTTTCGTGGTCTTCTTTTCGGGAGCCCTATGTTCACTAGTGAACTTATAAAGGGCAGTGATATTTGTTTATTTCTTAAAGTTTCGAAATAGGACTCCTCTTCCAGAGAATAAAGTTGAACCCTTCTACTCCATTCCGTGTTGGCGGCATACACAGATTTACTCACGTACAAGTTTTTCTTCACTGCTGAGTACGTGTAAAATAACTTTTAAAACAGTGATCATCAATTTACTTATGCCATAAAAAATGTTTCCCTCACCGTACAAAACACAATAATTTAATACTGTTGTGTATTGTACGGTGCTATTTTATACTAGTATTCTGTGAGAGCGTGGTCCTTCCCGGGACCGACTCAATCACGCCGCAATCAATAAATCTACAGTGGGGGCCTATCACGTAAAAGTTTACGCAATTCCAGGGGCATTACATGTCTGGGCTGCCAAGCATGGTATTCGCGATGGCAGCGCTGGGGCCAGCTCTGCTGGCGTTGCTGTTGCCCGACACCAGCCGCGCGCCGCTACCCGACCACGTGGCGGACGCCGAGCGCCTGGACGACTCGACCGGCACGGTCCAAAGCTAACTTAAAATTAACGCACCGGTCACTGGGTAACCTGCCCCAATTCAACAGCCGTTATAATTAAAAAATCTTGTTGATAATGAGGATAGTGGACGCTAATTATACGTAAAAGAATATGAAGATAATAAGTTTGTACGTGTTATCGAACTTACTCAAAGTATACACGAATCTCTACAGTTCGAGCATAAGAAAGTTTGGAGTGTTAGAAGATCTATAAAATGCCGGCATATGAGTTTATGCTATCTATCATAAAATCGTGGTCTCAATTTTGATGAAATAAACGTACAGAAATGTGACATTGCAGAATAGTTAGACGGAAACTATGCATTAATAACTGTATCTAACATTTGTGATATTTTGTTTTAGTTACTTATTAAAAGTGTTAATATCGGCGGTTTTCTACTATTTTAGAGACAGAGAAGTTAGCCAAAAGTGATAATAATAATTGTAGAAAGTGTATTTATAATTCTAATAATTTAATGTAAAGAAAAAACATATCAGTACTTTTAGACTCATGCTTTACGGCAGGTATTCCCGCCACGGAAACTCGCTGGTACATAAAATATCAGGATGTGGCTGTGTAGTGGACTCGGTCGTGTGTTTTACGAGAATACTTGTACCAGTACCTGTGCCGATAGGTAACGAGGTAACGAAATGATTTCAAAATGGTGGCGCTGCCATCATCATGCTCAACGTAACGAATTATTTGATCCTTTCGCTATCGAGTGGTGTAATTAAATTTTGGATGTAGATGATAAATAAATGTAGCTGCAATACCAAACTGTATCCCCCGATTTTGTTATCATCCGTTTTCTGAATTGCATCCCAATAAAGAAGCTAATATAAAGACGTTAAAGTTAAAAAAATTGGCAAGCACAATTTAATATGAAAGTCAATTGCTTACTACACTTTTTTATAGGATAAGGCTGTCAAGCGAGCACACAGTCCACCCGATGGTAAGTAATCGCTGTGGCCCATATACATCTACATCTTATCTTCAACGGTTTTCAGCCACAGATTACAGCCTGTAGTATGTCGCTACGTCATACAACGTCAAACTGTTGCGTCAAGCACACACTACTTAATGACGGTGACAATCCACCCACAGACTACTTTTTAACGTTGACTACCTCATCGGTCTAAAAAGTAGAGTAAGAAATGGAAAGTGTGGAAATATTACTAGGCATTTAGCTACAGCGCTGCAGGTTACGGGTTTGAATCAAGCACGTAACAAGCTACTATCTGTTTGACCTAATTAATGTTCGTTCTTATGTATATGTATTTGCTATCATATATGACACTACAGTGACAATCTACAGTGTTCTTTGTGGCAGCCACAGCTTGTGTGATTGGGTTCCCAGGGCGGGAGTACCACCTGTATAAAGAGTACGTAGCTTAATTTATTTAACAATATAGTATACTATTTAAGTCAATTATTGTTTGTATAATATTTATTGATATATTTTTTATCTACATAAATGACCTAAAATACATTTTTAAATTATATATATGAATATAATGACCGAAATTTTGACTTTTTTAGTTACTGTACGAGTACCATTGGCTCGATTCATAAAACTTTGACTTTTTTAGTTACCGTACCATTGGCTCTATTCACAAAATAAATTAATAAAAGTAAATCAAAATGAACGAAATTATTAATCCAAAAAAATTACATAACAACAGGATCAGCAATTATATAGACAGGATCTAAAGTAAATTTAATGTTTCTTGGTTGGTTCTACTTTAATTCATAATAGTTTTACCTCTACTCATTGTCCAGTCCTATTATTTTCACCTAAGATAGTTCAGAAGTTGTGATGCACAAATAAAAATTCATTGTTTATATATAAGAATGTATTGTCATTTCCACCTAAATTAATGCAGTTACGTAAAGTCTAAACTACTGATCTAACTACTGAACTACTAGGTACCTAACTAACTAGGTACCGGACTAACTCCCGAGGAGGGCGCGTGACTGGGGGCGATTGATTCGTCTAGCGGCGGCTCGCTAAAAATACTGATTCTTAATTGTAAGCATGATGTACAGTCACCACCACAGTAAATTATGTTTATTTATTTTATAGAATAAAGACTAGCACAGAGTCTACCTTATATTAAATGGTTGCATCAGTTCTAGACACCTATATCTAACATCATTAAGAAACAAAATGTACTATAAATACGAAGTATTGTATGGGTTGTATGCACAATGCATACAATACTTCGTTACTTGTACAAAGGGTCTCCGGTTCTCTACATTCACCATACGAAATACAGCAGCATTAAGCTGCTATTTACGGTGGTATTCTGTGAGAGCGTGGTCCTTTTGCTTCGTGCAGACTTAATCGGTATGTTTGTCAATAGACGCCATTTTCTATTAAGAATAAGGTTATAGAATTGAGATTAAATCTTATTTCTACTTTAGATTTTTTACATTATTTTGTATATTACAAAAAATGTTCGTAAGAAGTAGGTATGTATGTGCATTTTTTACTTATTCAACATGTGTAAAAAATAAATATTTTATCCTAACATGTGTTTCTTTTTTTTTTTCGACTTCTTAAAATCTGCTTGTGGAAATTAGTATTTTATATACGTCGTAGGATAATTTGATAAACCGCATTTTCCGCAAAAATCTAGGAATATTGCGAAAACACGAATAATAAGATAATGGCTATGATATTTCTCAATCTTACTGAAAAAAGGAGTTTTTTGAAAACACTGGTTGCTTTAGAAACTTTGAATATACTTAACTCTGATTGGCTTGATTTTGGTTTGTAGGTTTACTAGACCAAGTCTAGTAATTCTAGCGGTATGAATGATGATATTGAAAGGAAAAGGTAGTCTTTCGATATCTAAACAAGAGAGTAAAAGAAGTAGTTGAAAGGAAAAAGCAAGAAAGAACGCATAAAAATGATAAAAGGATATCGGATAACTTCCAGGTAAACATCAAAATGTTCTGGAAGCTCGTAAGAACTGACAGGGCATATTCAAAACAGCCTAGAATGAACGCTATACGAGACCAGAATGGCTGTATTCTGAATGACGAAGTTTTGAGTTTAAGGAGATGGAAGGATACTTTGAAAGCGTGTTTATGAGTGATGAGACTTCTGAATTCAATGAAATAGAAATTCCGATAGAAGAGAAAATAGACAGAGAGATAAGTATATATGAAATAATGAAAGCAATGAAAAGTATGAAAGCAGGTAAGGCAGCCGGATATGATAAAGTATCCCTCGAAATGCTAAGGGCTAGTGGAAGGAGTGGTGGCAGACCTGCCACCTTGTTTAATTTATGTTGGGAACTTAAGCGAGTACCGGAAGACTGGTGCAAAGCCGTGATAGTCCCAATATATAAAGGAAAAGGATCACAGTAGGACTGCAAAAACAACCTCGACCGCCAAAATCGTTTTTACCACACACTAGGAATTTCTCAAGTATGAATTGCACATAGAATCCGAAACATATTTTGCATGCGCTACTCAGCTACCGAACCGTCTTACATCTTAAAAAAATACACATTCGATAATACGAAACTATTTTCGCCACAAAATGAGACTTCATCATGTATACGGTGTGGTGGCGATGTAAACATATACTACCCCATATCGTGCGTATCGCTAGAAGCGACAAAAGGAAACAAACTGGAAGGTAGACAGCAGCGTCCACTTAATAATAACAAGAAAATAAAAAAAACTGCACCTGTCAAGCGTCGAACTTTAGCAAATATTCCCCTTATGAGGCAATCTATGAACTCGCCAAGTTTTAGCAGTGGCCTTTGATATACTGTAATGAATTAATTTATTAAATAAAATTTAATATACAGTCAAATGTTGTACATTTTTATCTTTATTTAATCTACTCCGCGGAAATGTTTGAATTAATTTTAGTCGCTATAATTTTAACGCTCTCCATCTTATGGGAGAGCATGGGAAACACGCCGTAAGCATCACGACGAGGCCTTGCTATAAGACAACTTGCAGCTACCGTATCTGCCGCCTAGATAAATAACGGGAGGAGGAGACGTGCCTTATATTCTCTTCTCCAGTGGCCGATTGCGGTATTTGCCGTTCTTTTTCGCTCCCTTTCCGCAGCTTACCGTACTTAACAGCCCTAGGTAACAGATAACACCGGCGAACATATTACTTTCATGTGTATTCTTGACGTGTATAATATTATGTCAGTATTTTATAAATAATACTATAATACTAGTACATATTTATAACCTATGACTATCACCATCTGTCCCAAGGAGGTGTTGAATTTATCGCCCACAAGTCTCTCGTTAACAACGTTGTAAAGATTGAGAGTGTGTCGACTAGGTTGGTCTTATACTCAGAATCACCAAACGGTATTCGCTGAAGGTCATACAGGTTTAAGCACCTACCTCGGCACATCCCGATGAAGTGGTCTCCACCACACAAATGTATGAGGATATATTAAGAGCCATGCATTCCCCCAAAACCCACTATACGGTGTTAATGGGAGACTTCAATGCAACACTAGGCACAAGACAGAACGGTGATCTGAAGGTAGGGAAATTTGAAATAGGGCAACGGAACCCAAGGGACTGGAAATCCAGTTGCTGACCAACTTTATGAAGAAAGTGGGCTCTTTATGATGAAACCTTTCTTCCAGAAGCGGCCCCACAGGAAGTGGACCTGGTCGAGCCCCGACGGTTCGATAAAAGATGTGATTGACTTCATGATGACGACCAGACGACAAGCGTTCAGTGATGTCTCAGTGATCGCGAGTGTGAAAATCAGCAGCGGTCACCGATTGGTGAGAGACACACTGAACCTAAACATTAAGTTGGGGAGGTCACGTCTAATGATGTCAAAGTTCCGTCCCATTCGTGCTCTAATCCGAAGTCCCGAAACCTTTCAGCTCGAGTAACAAAACCGTTTTCAGTGCCTAGAAGATTGCAATGCAGTGAAAGATATGAATCACAAGCTCGTGGAAACTGTCCTTGTGGTCGGCGCTAAGTTTTGCATGACCCGC